TATATATATAATAGAACAAAGACGGCCGAGTCCTGGAAGGAGGCAGGGTTCCATTCAGATTTCCATGTGAAGGGATTTTGACACAGGGACAGCTCACAGCAGTGTGGACACGGTTAAGGGAATCAGCAGAAGATGCTGCAGCAGGGACTAGCGAAGAGGGAAGCTGTTAGCACCTGTGGCCCAGGGAATGAAGGTGGGATATTGTTAAAGCTGATGCAAATGTGCGGGGAATGCACAGCCAGCACTGTAGTTGAGGCATTACTGGGATGGGGAAGAACATACCAATCTCTGTCTTGCTGCTGCCTGTGAGTCAGATCCAAGGGAGGCCAGAAGATGGAGAGGCTGGGTGGTTGTCTTAGGGCTCAGTAGGACAGAGAAGGCTCAAGAATGGCTATGGAGGCAGCCTGTCTGGCTGTGAAAGAAGAGAAAATTGTAGGAAAAGAGAATCCCCCAACTGCCAGAGTTATGAGACAGGTTTTAGTTACTAGAGGACTTGTGGATGATAGTGTGATGTGGGGGAGACTCTGAAATCTTCTGCCCTGCACTAGGTAAGGTGGATGATGTCCAGCTGAGCAGTCTTCTTGCTGGGTTAGGTGAATGTCCAGAGATGGTGTCTGTGAGTCTGGGGTGCTCCTGAGCAATTGGGCTGATGACCTGGGGCAGGGCAGTTGTGGGACAGGAGCAGTGTAACCCAGGGTGTGGGAGGAAGTAAAGGTTTAGGGACTTGGGTTTGGATCAGAGAGCTTCCACTTTGGGGATTCCTGCATGTGATGCTAAAAATGTGCTGTGAGAAACAGCAAGCACCCACCTGACAGCCTGGTAGTCACTGTTTGTATGTGCCTGCCTCTGCGTGTGTGTGTGTGTGTGTGTGTGTGTGTGTGTGTGTGTGTGTGATGAATCTGCAGGTATAGATTAGAGTGGGCTGCTCTGTTCTTTTGTCATATGTGATCTGGCAGAATTTCTACTGGAAATGCAGTTCCTTAGAAAATATTTTGCAAGCAACCCACTGATTTATTTCCTTCTGTTGGGACAGAATGAGAAGAGATTGTCCTAAATGACAGTAAGAAGAATTTGGTTTAGACTTAAAGGATGGCTCTTACTAACCTATGTATCAAATTCCCTTCCAGTTCCCCAGGAGAGATCGTTTTTCTCTTCCATTCTGAATTACATCACATATCCAAACAGCAAGACTTCCACGGTAAGGTCCACCAAAGTAACATTTAAAAAAATCGATGTATCAGTTCTCTTCAAAATTACGACTGCTGTGACTGAATGTCCAAATTTTCTGTGTTCTGATTATTGATGCTTGCTTGCCTGGTTCCCACTTCTGTCTCCTCCCTGTAGGATGCAGAGAGCAGTGTGAAATCCATACACTCTGGAGAGAGCTCGGGAACGACTGAGCACCGTTTATTCTGCCCGGGAACCCCACAGCCATTTCTCTGGCTTCTTTCTTCTTTTCTCCCCCTCACTGGCTGAGCTTCAGACTGACTGATGCATAAGTTCCTCCAGAATCTGCCTGGAGACCTCTGAACTGGCTCCTCATCTGGCTGGGGAGGGTTCCCCTTCCAGGTGTGCTCCTGGCTGGACACAGGTATCTTCTCAGCAGCACCTTCTCTGGCCAAGCTCCCAGGAGGCAGCTTTACCCTGTCCCGCAGGGCGCTGGCGCATTGTCTGCATAGGCAGCTCAGTCTCCCACTGTTTGTCATCCGTCTCCTAGGGTGAGCACAGGTTTGACAAGGACAAATACATGGCCCATTCTGTTGGCTGTTGAATCCAAAACACCTGGACCAGGGGCAGCCAAGCATCGGGTGCTCAGTAAAGAACTGTGGAATCAATGGATCCGTAAAAAGATGATTTGGCTACTTCAGCCTTCCTGATTTTCACTGTTTTAGATACAGAGATGTGTTTCTCTTTCTTGTCACTATTGGGCACAGGTATTTCAGACCCGCTGAGCTGATGCCAAGGCGGGTACGCAGAGCACAGGCCCTGTCTTCCTGTCTCCTGGGCGGGCCTGTCCTCAGGGAGCCAGCTGCGTCACTCTCCGGTAGCAGTCTCGGTCAACAGCTACTTCTGGGTCAGTCTTTCTAACTCTAGATTTGGTGATTTGAACACATTCATCAAGGCAAGTTGGTCATTGTGTGTATGCCATAGAGTACACTTGCACAAACCTAATAGCATGGGCCATTCACTTGATGTGGCCTTGGAATGTAACCAAGAGACCAGATAAACACAGATGCATGAGGCTGCTGCAGGTGTGACGCCCACACTGAGATAAGGATAAAAGTGCACTGTACTGTAGTAAATACATAAACCAGCAAGTCATTTATTGTTATTACTGGGTGTTAAGTGCTGAAGATAATTCTATGTTCTATGCTTTAAGACAAGCAGTGCATGGTAGGCTTCTTATGCCAGCATCGCCCTGAACGTGTGAGGAATGTTTTGTGCTAGGATGGCTCCACATCACTATGTGATAGGAATCCTACAACGCCGGTATAATCCTGTGGGGCCACCATTGTACATGCGCTCCATGTTTGACTAAAATATTGTTATGGTCATGTTGTGTTCTGTTGTAACTTAGCTCATGACTATCTTCCATGGTTGGGCATCATAATTTAGATCTCCATTTGTAGCTTGGTCATTCTGTTTCTTATTTTAATGAGAATTTGTGAGACCAAAGCTACTCCATTTTGCTAAAAGTCACTATTCCCCTAGCCTCTATTATTAATGGTTGAAATGTGCTTGCTCTGGGACAAAAGACACACTCTAGTTCTTGGGGTGGGGGGGCCCATCTGCAAAACAATCTGTCAATGTGCCGACCATCAGTACATAATGGTCGTGACCATTAGCCATTGTGTCTACTGACTGCCAGTACTTGACAGTCAGCCACTAACCTTTGTTCCTCTTTTCCCTCGTAAAACCTATATGTAACCACCCCCCAACCCCCAATGAGCCGAGCCAATCAGAAGTATATACTTCATGCTTGCTAAATGCCAACCAATCATGTAACCGCTAAATGGAAAATCCCCAAACCTTGCTGTAACTTCAACAAAAACCCCGCTAATGTGAAATTCGGGACTCTCAATTCTGATCCGCTGCGTCGGTGAAGGTTGGGAGCCCCTGCTCAAGCTTGAATAAATGACCCTCGTGTGCTTGCATCAGAAACGGCTTCCTGGTGGTCTTTTGGGACTTCGCAATCTGGGCACAACAAATTCAACTCCACAAATTGTAAGATTCCATGTTAATATGATTCTGAGGACCTAGGTTCGTCTGTGTCTGTCTCAGACCCTGACCTTTGGCTCCATCATCGCATAGCTCTTGTCTTGAAAATTCTGGAATTGAGGTAAATGTGGAATGTTGTGTTTCCTTTGCAGTCCATGGGGCAGCACCTGGGTTGGGGGAATGGTGAGTCTGCATGAAGGCCTGGGGCCGAGCTGGCCTGACACTGGGAACAGACATGGTGAGGAACACAGGCTGTGGCTTTGCACCCCCTCCAATGTTCACCCCAGTGGGTGAGGGTGGAGAGAAAGAAGCTAGCTGTGCGCTTGCAAAGCTAATCTACCTACCCACGGACCGAAGATTCTGGGTCTGACTTTCGTGTCCTGTACTATTCTATAAAGTGAGAATTTTACTAGACTGACATTCTGTTGTGTCTTATGAGTTTGATTGCCAACTTCAACCCATTGTAACTTCAGTAATAGAATAGCAGGAAGCCTCATCAAACAGTTCAACAATGACTAGTTTTGGGCAAGATGCAGGAATGGAAGTGTAAGCAAAGGTAAGTTCTTGTGGAAATCAGCCAGAGTCAATAATTAGAGCTGTGTATTCCTACCTCAGTTTTGCCATGTTGAAAATGGGGACAGTTGTTGCAGCACTATTCACAGGTGCAGATGAGATAATGTTGAAGATTATTTTTCCTTTGCATAATTTCATATTTGTTTTGTTTTGTTTTGTTTTGGTACTGGGAATCAAACTCGGGACCTTGCACTTGCGAGGCAGGCACCAGAACCACTGAGCTAAATCCCCGGCCCACATAATTTCATATTTGTAGTGATTTTATCACCAAGCAGAGCCTTTTCCTCCATGCGTGGCCTAACCAGTCCTATTTAGCCCTCAGATTTGCTTCTTGCTTCCTCACATGCCCAGGACCCTCTGTAGATGACTCATGTAACTTGGGTCGGCAAAGGACAGCTGATGCTGTCTCTCAAACTCTGGCACCACCCCTGTTATTATCTTGGAGATACAAGCTCTCTTCTGGGTTTCCCTAGTGGTTCCAACTATCAGCTCTTGAGTCTTGACCTTCCCATCCTCACGTGATGTCCAGAGCCTGGGAAAACTTGGTGTGAGACAAGGGAGCTGCAGTCCTCATGTGTGCTCCTAGGGAACCCATGCAAGCAAAACTAAGTGTAGCTGCGGGTATGTTTGGCCGTCACCCTGTGGGCTCCGCAGTACAGGAAATGCCATGGCCTCTGCCCACTTGATTTTTCAGTGAATCTTACTGTGTGTGTTGGTGCCACAGCCAAGCACAGAGGTGAATGTCTTGAACACAGATAATGGCAACAGTAGAATTAGCTCTCGTCTCTTCCTGGTTTCCATGGGGGCAACAAAACTTCTCCAGAAGCATGTTACACGGAAGCTCTCTGGATGCCTGATGGTGTTGATCGTTGGTTTTATTGAGGCTACATTTCTCATACGTCACAAAATCCAAGCATGCAATACTTTCAATAGAAAGTTGGGGGTCTTTGGTCAGACAGACTTGGGTCTAACTCTTAATTCATCTGTTCCCTTCCTTTCTGATCTTGGATAGATTTCAACTTCTGGACACCTTTCACATTTGTAAAGTAGCGGTAATAATAATGGGTCAGCTACCGTGGGGCTGGATGGGCTGGACAAGATAGCATCTATACACTGTGGTCATAGTGTGGAGAAGGTGACAAGGTAAAATATCACCATTGTTATGCTGATACTTTGTGGTTATTCTGATCATGCCCTGTGCTGCATTGTTTGGATTATGCTGACCCCAGACATTTGAACATAATCTTCTTTCCCCTTAAAATGACCTCTGCCTGGTGAACTCCTATTCATTTTTCAAATATGTGGCTGGGGAGGATTCAGACTAAGCCACTTCAGTGACTGCAAAGCCCCCAGTGAGAAGGGGTAGTAAAGATTTGTTTTTGTTTACTGAATGATAACCGACTTTTAGAAAGTTTCGGGATTCCCTGAGAGATAAATGTGTGGAGCGGCCAAGAAAAATTTCCCATTCACCTTCAGAAGTTCTCTGGAGTGAACTATTAACAGATTAAAAGGAGAAAAGACATACAAATTTATTAGCATGAAAAAGGACAAAATCACAGGGACATGAATTACCCACTGGCCCATTATCATTCAGAAACCCCATAACCGCTTTTCTGTAGGGAAGAGAGTGGTTTTCGGGGAAGCACAACAGACTTGGAGAACATACACCGTACACCGAGCAGGGCAAAGCCCAGGGCCAGTGGACTGATAATGAATTGCAAGTGATCTGGGAGGGAGTGGGCTAGACGAGTGGGGAGCGGCGGCAAGTCTGCTTGGGAGTGTTGACACATCTCAGCTTCTCTTCCTCCAGTGTGAGCTCAGTCTTCACCGGCTACAGAAATTCCAGCACGCAGACTGAGGGACACTGCTCCTCTTAGCAGATTGGGCCAGGTAGATCTTTAAGACAGTGTGAGATTGCACAGTGGGCCTGCAGCAATTTTCTGAGCTGGAGTGTCCCCTCTACAAAAATTTCTGGCAGAAACCAAGGTCTTTTCAACAGAAGGAGACATAAATTACAATCAGTTCTATATTCTTTGAAACTCTTTGAAGCTGACTGTCCCCAAAGGCTTCTTATATTTTTCTCTTTTGCCATCTCCTCTCACTGATATTACACTTAGGAATCTTTAGTTGTTAGCTCTCTGAGTTATTTCACCTTGAGGAGTTATCTTCATGCTTGTTCCATTTATTTTCTCAAATAACTGGAACTGCGCTGGTCTTAGCAGAGAGGCTGTGAGGTATAGGAAAGGGAAGCAAGCTTTGGAGTTAGAGGCTTTGAATTGTCACATCACCCATCATGGTTTCCTCTTGGGAAGGTCTCTTATTCCCTCTGAGCCTCGGGTCTCAGCTATAGAATGGCATGAATGGAATGCATCCCACTGCTGTGTTGCCATTAAAGTGTGACAAAAGAGAGGTGAAATATGTGAAGAGTCTTCAATGAAGTTCTTTTGAAATGATTATTGCTACCCCCTTCTTCTCTAAGTAGGAGTGTTGAAATTATATGAAAAAAGGAACAAATACAACCAAGCACACTGTTCAGCTCCCCGACTGGTTACTGAAAGCCAGACTTTATGGACAGAAGAGGGAGGGGGAGACAGGGAGGGAAATGGAGATCACATTCAAACATTTTCTTCTCTTGGCCTGCTGAGGTTTGGGCCTCTCTCCTGATTTTACTGATCTCTCTGAGCTCCAGCAGCCAGGTTCCTGGGCATCCCCATGCCACCCTGATTGCAGTATTACAGACAGCCGAGTTATGTAGAAATATCACAGGCAGTCGGACAAGGCTAGGTCCTCGAGAGTCAGGACAAAGGTGAATAGCACCTGTGGCCAGAGACACATCTGTTAGAGACCCAGCCTCAAGATAAAGACAAGATGACCAGACCTGCATGCTTCCTCAAAGGACAAACGCTGGGCCTGATGAAGTCTAGATAGATGTCAGCCACCCCTGTGGACAACCAAGGACCTCTGGACCCACCACTTCCTAGATGCCTTTGTTTCTTGTGACTTGTTTTCCAACTGGACCACCATCACCTAAGAGACTATGCTT